ATTCCTGCTCCCTCCCTGTCAAATGAAGAGCTGGGAGGGACCGAAGAGCACCCCCCAGTGACAACCTCTGATCAGTGTGGAGAGATCTTCAGGGATCTTCTATCACACAGGCTAAAGCCCCAGGACCTAGTATCCAGAGTCTGGAGGACCATGGGAACTCATGATCACGGTCCATAGCTGCGTTTGCAAACTCAGACATTTGCTGGGTCCAAACATTTTTCTTAAGAGATTTAGAAATCCGTTTTTTTTTTTTTTTTTTTTTTTAACAAAGATCACCTGATATTAAAGCACTGGTATAATCTCATAGGATCTGGGAGCTCGATTGAGTCTGTGATCACCAGCTCCAGCTGACTAACTATAGCCTGAGAGTTAGTTATAGATCTTTACTTGTTTTTAATATATATGCGATGTGCTCAGAGGCAAATAGTGATGATATTGCTAGACATTATATGCTCTGAGCTTGGCAGGCCCTGAGCTTATCTTACATTATCCTTAACTAAGCATAAGGGCCATTTAGATATAATGCCACATTTATAAAATGCTCCTTTTATAAAGGTGGACGTTGAGCAGCACAGAGATTAAGAAACTTGCTGGGCTTACATTAGCTGCTCAGGGTTAAGGGTGGAGTCAAGGTGCTCTGAATCTTTGGGTCTAAAGTTACCTATGGATGCGTATGCGTGTGTGTGTGTGTGTGTGTGTGTGTGTGTGTGTGTGATTTGCCTTCTACTCAGTTTCCAAGGTAAAGGCTTAAGGCTGGTGCTGCTCCATTCCTACCAGGTGGAGAGTGACCCTTCACGGGGCAGCCCTGTGCTCTAAAAGCAACATCTCCAACCCTGTCAAGTAGCCTTGACATTGTAGGGAAAGCGGGGCTTTTGAAATCTGAAGAACAGACCGCGTGATCTTGCAACTGGGTATCCCTGGTTGCCTCTGGAGATCGGCGGAACACTTGGAATGTCTATTGAAAAAATGACTTCGCACAGCTTTTGCGTACAGGACGCAGACACCGATTTTAAACATCTTAAAATCTGGAAGAAAACACGTGTAGTCGGAGCAGGAATAGAAAGACACCTAGGACGGTGGATCCACTCCTGTCTATGCACATGCAGGTGCAGGGGGGAAATGAACTATGAGAAGCCAAGGTGCTAAGAGATGGGCCTCTGCATACAAAGTCCCGCCATGCCCATGAGGGTCCCATTCCCGGCTGAGCCCGGCTGCCACGCCAGGTGTACGTTCCCCTTCACTGCTRGTGCCAACCAGGGTTCAGCAGTTTCCTTGCAAGATCTGTTCTTCTTGGCAGAGGCGATTATTTGGCTACTCCCAAGAGGCAGCTTATCAAAGGAAACTGGAACCTAAGTGCTCGGCTCAGTTAATAAATGATACACGACTGTTACTTTAGGTGTTTTCAGGAACCGACGCATGCGTTCATTCCAAGGCTGCTTTGATGTACTGCAAACACATGGAGGACGTGTTATTGCTAGCTACTCTTGAATATCAAAGACACAGGTGGGATATAAAGTGGCCAGAAMGGAACTTCTCCTCCCCAACCCTGTTTGCAGGCATCCTCCAGATCCGTGCAACTGGTCAGAGCTCCCACCAAAGTCTCAAGAAAGAAGCCCGAGATCACCCCTTCAACCTTCTCCCTGAGCCCACCTCCCACCCGTCCCTAGTAACCTTTCCAGCGACGCTCTGCTCTCAATTCCAAATGGTCTACAAGCAGGTCCACTTCCTCTGTTATGGTCTCAGTTTCAGCTTTGTRCGCTTCTTTCCTGGAATTCTAGAAGAATCCATTTCTTTTATCCCAGACTCACTTGGTGCCCCTCCAGCCACCTACCTACAGAGCAGCCAGAGTGCGTTTTTACAACCCTCACTTTGGAGGGATCCTGATCTTCTTAGCATGAAACACAAACGGCTGACCACAGATTCAATGTTCTCTGTGGCTCCCCTCTCACCCCCCACCCCGGGGCTCTCGCCTCACACTCCAGCTACATGGGACATTTTTTAAAGTTCTAAAACTTCAGCTCTCAACATGGGGTTATGTATAATAGCTGTATTCTCCACCAGAATGTCCTGTACTCTGTCTGGCTAATTCTACACATTAAGGTTTCATCCTAGAGAGAGTTTCTCCACCAGCTGCCTCATCTGAAGACAATCCCCATTTCCTTTTCTTACCCTTATTGTCTTCCACAGGACTTACTGCCACCTATAACCCTGTGTCCATTTTTGTACTTACTTGTGTAACACTATACTATACTTTCCCACACTGTAAGCTTCAATAGCAGGGAGATTTAGTTTTCCTAGTCTTTTTTTTTTTCTTTTTGGCACTGGGGAGTGGACCCAGGGGTACTTCACCATTGAACCACATCCCAGCCCATTTTTATTTCTTTTATTTTGGGACAGGTTTTCACTAAGTTGTTTAGGGTCTTACTAAGTTGCTGAGGCTGGCTTTTAACTCGTGATCCTCCTGCCTCAGCCTCCCAAGCCACTGGGATTACAAGTGTGTACTACCACACCTGATGTTTTTTCCTCTTTGATCCACAATTATATGCCTGGTTTAATATCAATGAGGGACACAACAGAAGCCCAAGGCATGTGACACAGAGTGACTCAATGACTAATTCATGSGTATTTGCACTTTTCTGTCTTCTAACCTTCTAACAAATCTAATAATCCATTGGTGAAACTCCAAGATGTCATCTAAATACTCCCCAAAGAACTCACACACATGGCACCCAAACTTCCACATACAGGGTAAGAAACTTGTCTTCATTGCTTCACCCACTGAACTGTCAAGAGCTTYAAAAGGCCACCTTCAATATCACAGTCACATGGTATCTGTTCAAAGAATTATCCATCCTTGCTGCATGGAAGATATATGGGCACCTCTGAATAGACACAGAGAATCTGCCTCTAATAATTTGCTTTACTAATTACTTATCTCAACAAAACACCCTGCAGCCATGAGTACACACAGGCTATAAGTCCCATGGAAGTGAGTACCATGACACTTTCCTCAGTACCAAAGACACAGAAATTACAAATATGTTAACCGAATAAATTACCATACCYGAGCCATAAAGGAGGAAACAGAATTTTAAGCAAAAACCATTACACTAACTCCTGATAGCAATCCTCTTAATATTCAACTTTTAGATCAAGCTTTATGTCTGAGTTGGGCAAGGTACACGGTCATGTTCTCACTGTGTTGTGAAATCTGGGTGGCAGGCATTTCTAAACAGTACTCTGTCTATTTCTCACTGTATTTCCCACCTCTTRGATGCTTCTATACCTCCTAGGGAGCATCCACAGCAGTTTTGTGTTGAGAAAAATCTTACTATGCCAGGTGGCTGAGCCATTCCAGCATCTTTGGTATAAAATAATGTCCTGGGTAACAGAGTCAGAGTCAGAAAGACTTTAGTTCAAGCCTCATTCCTGCCACTTAGATGTTCAAAGAATTATCCATCTTAATTATCCATCCTGCCTAATCCAAAAACAATCTCCATTTCCTTTTCTTACCCTTATTGCCACCTATAACCACCTATAATATGATCTCTTTAAGGCTTAATCTTCTCATCTGTAAAATGGGGATTCATAAACTAATGCATGACATTGATTAGCTTGATGCTCAAATACAAGAAGACACAGCTGCCTTTCTTCACACCCAATCCCATATTTTTCTGGCAAATCAGTGAGGTAAGTACTTTGGTTTGGGCAAGTGTCCCTCCCAAGGTCCACGTTACAGGCTTGGCCCTGGTGCATGCAATTGGGAGGTGGTGGAAACCAAGAGGTGAGACCTAGTTGCAAGTCTTCCATTCATTCATGGGCATGTCTCAAAGGGGATATTAGAACCAGAGTCCTCTTCTTTCCCTCTCTTCTACCTCCTGGTGACTATGAGGTGAGCAGTTCTACCATGCACTTACCATGAGGTGCTGCATTACCACAGGCCCAAAAGTAAACAAGCCAAAGTAAACCTTTTCTCTTTATAAGTTGATTATCACAAGTATTTTGTTGCAATCACTGACGAAAACTCTTAGGTTTTCCACCCTCATTTTTCAAGTAAGGAATGGAAGCTCAGAATGAGAAACATAAATGCCTTGTTTCCTAAGCATTCACTATATGCAAATATCATTTCTATGCATGCAGAAGCAAATCACGTGCCTGAGGGAGCAAACCATCAGTCGCGTTTTCCCAATGGGAACAAAGGAAACTCAGAGACATGATGACATGGACTACATAAAACATAAAACAGAATCATTTTGCGGTCATTTGCAGACATGTTGGCTGGGTTTATTACTGTCATTATTACCCATTAATAATGTATTCAAATTCTCTTGGTTCTTGGGAAATCACAACCTACAAAATTATGATCGTTTAGCATGACAAACTCTGTGGACACTCAAGCAAACATTTTCTCTATTATATGACTGCTCCTCCCAGGCTAGCTGACCTGTGTCTTGGATAACTACAATGAACCATCCAATTGACAGACACAGATCAAGGGGAATAATTTAAAAAGTATTCCTGCTGTACTCCTCGGAGTTCAGGAAAGCCAGGCATGATGGTGAGAGGCTGGCATATAAAATGGGAAAATCAACACCTTCTCCTGGAAGTCCAATGACTTTTGTTCTCTTCTCCAAAATGGAATTGCTAAATGACATTTCCTCTTTGTACTTTTTTTTCCCTCCACAATAGTAGAGATTGTGGGCTTTCCCACTAAGCCATGTCCCCTGCACTCCCATCCCTTTAAAAAAAAAAAATTCTTGAGACAGGGTCTTGCTAAATTGCTGAGGCTGGGCTAGAACTTGCTTCATTCACCTCCTAGAGTCACTAGGATTCCAGGCATGCACCACCATACCAGCTCCTCCTTGTACTTTGAAAGTTAGCCCTATTAGGAAATAAATCTGAAGCAAAAGGATGGGAGTCCTTTGAGCTAGCTCAAATTAGAGTCTGCACTCTAAATGCAGCTAGAAGCACTGAGAACTGAATCAGCAGAAGGGGCTTACTTCAAAGACCAGCGTCTCATTTGTGGGTCCTGGTGCATACAGTCGTTCCGGCTGATTAAAGGAGCGCTGGTATTCAAATGTGGTCCCAGCAAAGGAGAAGTCCCCGGGCCAGTCAATGCTCCAGCCCCCTGTGAGGTAATACTTTGGACTGAGGCTTCGAACAGCGAGATAACTGGAGGACACCTGCAGCTCCTGGATCTCAATGCTTCGGGCTCCCGCTGGAATGACCACCACTGGATAATATTCTAAACGGAAAGAAGAGAACATTTCTGTAGCCTACACTGTGCATTGGAGAAAGGCAACTAGAAGCACCTGCAGCGGAGGGGTGTCCATCTTTATACCGCAGAGTTTTTGAATCAGTAACTGATATTTTGTTCCCATTCCACAAAGTCAAAATGAAAAATTAACTCGTTTTCAAGTGGTAGAAACATGAGAAGAAAATACATTTGGCTTTTCCAGTGTTTTACCAAGTAGGTGTTTGCAGTTGAGAGACACGTCCGTCTCATTCCTAGCCCACTGATGTGGATTAACAGGGAACTAACTGTAGGCTGATAGGGTGTGGCTGGAGGAAGTAAATCACTGGCGGTGTGCCTTTGGGATCCTGAGCGGATTCCCCCCACCCCCTACACTTCCACCATGATGTTTTGCCTCACCTTGGGCCCTGAGTAATGGAGTTGGCTGACCATGCACCAAACTTCTGAAACCACGAGCCAAAACAAACTTTTCCTCCTCTGAGTTGTTCTTGTCAGGCATTTTGGTCACAGTAACAGAGAGTTGACTGACACACCAACAAAGGTCACAAAACTCAAGAACACTCCTTATTCTTTTTCACCTCACCAGAAGAAACCTAGTCATGTATCCTCAACAGTGAGTCTCAGAAAACAGGGATCAAAGGTTTACTTTTACTCAAGATATTTAGATAATTGCTTTGAATGTTCATGTACCACTGTGAGCACAGGTCCTCTGACTTTCACAGTAAGTTTCTTTGTTTAGCAAATGCTCGTGGGGGCTAGGATAAGCTGGTTGGCATATTTAAACTGCAGAGTGGGATGGCATTTCTGAGATATGCTATATTGGCAAAACTCCCCTCTAAAGACCATCTACCCTCCCTTGTTCCTGCAGGAGTGACAGAAGCTCTCATCTCGGTGTGTCTCGGCACTGGTACTATGTCAGCGTGACTTGAACTTGTTCAGCTGCACCCACGCTTCACCAGCCATAGCAGAGAAGGAGCAGCGTCTCTTACCATTTGCTTTGTGCTGGTTGAGGTACAGGCCTTTGTAAAACTTGCAGGTTGAATTATCACCTTTGCAAACGCCACACGCATCCAAAACTGCTTTAGAGCCAAGTTCATGATCACATCCCACTGGCTATGACCAAAAAAAAAAAAAAAAAAAAGTGAGAAAGTATGAAATCAGAAAAGTCAGTGGCTGAGAATAACTAGAAGGTGCATGTTTTCTATATTTATTGATTAAAAAGTACAGTGTCAAGTTTCTCAAATCTTTTCTCCACCATTATTGGACACGAAATGGAGCAGGTTGCATGCATTAGCTAAGACTCTATACCTGTGAAAGTGGAATAAAATTACTACTAACGCCAGGTCAGATTTTCGGGCTGGCTCTGACTGGACGAAATGCTGGACAGCATACCTACATCCACACACTCCCCCTAAGAGGATCAAAGAGCTCAGAGTTAAACTGAAATGGGAGAGTGAGTGAGCACCCAGCAAGAAAGGAAAAGAAACAGCTCTCTTTCGAAATACATATTTTGAGGTTCTAACAATACAGTGAATATACTTAGAAAAATGCAGAAGTTTAGCATTATTTACGTTCTCCTTTTTTTTTTTTTTTTTTTACTTCACTATGGAAAGTAGGCTATTCTACAAGTAGGGTAAAGGACTGAAAGAGAAACTGAAATGACTAGATAGGGGACATGCAGAAATCGAGCCAGGAACGTGGAGGTGGCATTCCTATCCCAACTAAACCTTGCCTGCAGAGAATCTCTCACAACACTCCTGACAGCATCCATTTACTATGAGGAAACGCAGCAGGGCCCTACCCTGAAGGCAGGAATGCTCACTTACTTCACAAATCCCATCAATACAAATGTCGTTTTTGTGGGGGGAGCAAGGAGTTCCATCTTTCACCTTGCCAGACATTGCAAAGAAAAATTCAAAGTTCTCAGCCTTGCAGTACAGTTTACATCGATCTTCCTCTAGAAGCAAAGAGATAAGCGTGGACACGGTCAAGGGAAAATTGCAAGGAAATGCTCTGATCATCAAAAGGCCCATTAAGTTTACTCAGCAAACCATGATCAAAACAGATGACGTTATGCACAGTTTCCTGTGTGTGCATMGGCAGACCCACATGGGCATGTGGCTTTTAAAAATATGAACTCCACTTAACAATCCAGGGAATGGGAAGCTGGAGCTCAGTGGTACAGTGCTGGCCTAGTAGGGRTGAGGCCCTGGGTTTGATAGCCAGCTTGCAACCACCCCCAAAATGASCATTTAACAATCCATGTAAAGCCTATCCTTGGTGACAGTCACCACATATAAGACTGGTGGATTGTGTGGCTAGTCTCTTAGATGGTGAATCTTCTAGGCTTCATGGGTCATGTGCCAATGAAACTGATTTTAAGAAACAGTTCAGGCCATGGTTTGATTGCCTTGATTTAGGACTGGACTACTTTAGATATTTATTCCATCTGTAAAGAGGAAAATTTTTAGGCACTTCATTAAAAAAAAAAAAAGCACACTGTCAATCATGTTCAGAAAACACATAGAGCAAAACCATAACATGAAGAAGAAGAAGGAGGAGAAATAAAGACTCCTAAAGGCAGAAAAAGGAGCTTCATGCTGACCGCGATGGCCCTCAGAAGTTTCTAAGACCATGGGTAAAAGAAAAAAATATTATTTTTACGGTGCTCATGTTATCATATCAGAATGAAGTTACTATGTCAACTTCTCAAACACAAAGTGCTCTCTTTGGCTGGGAATTCCAGATGACGTCGCTCCCATGGGACCTTATGTAGGCGACACCGAGTGACATCCCTAACAACAGTTTTACAACAAATGTGTAAATAGATTGCAAACAGTCATGATTCATCAAAACCCCCCAATAAAAGACAAAGTCAAAAGTTAATGTGAAAGAAATTAATTTATTATGGTTGAAATATGTAGATGTGTGGGTGGATTAAGTTTCTCAGCTCTGATTTTTGAAAATATCAGATTTAATGCCTCCTAATTTCTGCACATGAGATTAGGAAGTTGGACGACACACATCCTCTCTTTTCTCTATCATTCTCAAGTATTAACATATTCCAGAAAGCTCACATTTTCCAGCCAGATTCCTGGGAAAGTTTATGAACTGATCCATTAGAAACAGAAAGAGAAAAGGTGATGGGGTGGGTCGGGAGAGCTCACTAATGTAGAACAAGGGCTGTTTACAATTACAAATAAAGTCTTCCCTYGCTCTTCTTCAATGGCAGGAGTGTCACAGACCCTCAAGTCACAGTCAGTCTCTTCTGATGTAAGTATAAGAAGAAGAGGGACAGACCCGATGTCCTTAACTTTTTTTTCTCTCTCCCCTGGGAAGTGATTCCAGAGGCTGTGGATGACACACACACTCTCTCATGCAACTTACAGATCACCTCCTACACAAAAAGAGCTCAGTAAACATCTGTAGAGAGAATCAGTGAGATTGCATGCTCCCTATTTAGTGAAAACTGCAATAGGGTTAGTAAAAGAACATCGAAACCCAAAAGCCATTCTAACTGGAGTGAGAAGAAATTGCGGTGTAATTCCAATTTGCGTTTTCTTGGTTACTGGAGAGGTTGAACACTTTTTCATACATTTGTTGACTCTGTGTGTTTTATCTCTTGAGAAACATCTGTTTCGTTTAGCCCATTTCTTGATTGGTTATTTGTTTTCTTGGGGTTAAGCTCTTTGTGAGTTCTTCATACRTTCTGGATTATTAATCTCTATCAGAAGAGCAATGGCAGAGATTTTTCTCCCGTTCTGCAGTCTCTCTCTTCATACCCTTTATCATTTCTTTTGCTGCAGAAGCTTATTGATTTGATGCCATCAAAAAAAAAAAAGCATCTTTCAAGTTATAAAATTCATCTGTTTAACTTTCTCTTCATGTATTGGCGTAGAAGTCATTTAAAAGACAACAGTTTTCATGAACAATGTATTTGAAGACAGTTGCAATGTGGGAAAGACCAARGAGTATCCGAGAAGCCAAAGCAAAGAACAGAGGGAAGAGCAGGGAAGGGCACAGAGCCCCAGAGGAAGGATCCTACATAAGAAACAAAGGATTAGGAGAGTATGCCACCAAGAGAGACACATCTTCAAATCCCTAAACAGGAGCAGCCCCAGCTGTTCTGCCCACTCCCATGTTCCCCCAGGCTGCATAGCATCCTTCCTGGGGGGACACTTCTAGTGATGAAGAACTTCCATCTCGCAAAGGGGACAGACACACTTCCACTGGGGATGGACACACTTCCGTTGGGGAGAGACAATATTCATTCATTCATTTCTAAAGTCTTAGATGCTGAAGATACGAGCATGCTAAACACAGGCAGAGGTTTAGTCTCTGTGGAGCCTAAATTCTCCAGGGAACAAAGATAATAAATTGATTGGATTCAAAAGAATAAATTCAGGCCCTGATAAGAGCTATGAAAAATTTGGCAGGGTGAAGGTGTCAGAGAATGGAATGAAGGAAGGATACTTTGGAGGGGCTGGCAAGGGAGGTCTGAGAAACTCGTAGGAGATTCCAAGAGATCATAGCCCTTGAATGGCGTTCTCCAAAGCAGTTTCAGACAAATCTAAAACCTTTTCTCTTCAGTAGCTCTTCGAAGTCTGTAATATAACTAGTCTCTTTTCTGTAGCAATGTTCATTACTTCTCCTAAGACACAGCTTTCAGAATGTTTCTATGTGACTATAGCTGGGCTTTTGGATAGTCACGATCCAGAACTTGATCAATGATCCTGAAATGGCTGAGGTGGTACTGAGCAAAGATGCACCCTCTTCCCCCTTGATTTGGAGGTGCTATTTGTTAGGCTGATGTCTCTAATTACATTAATTTCCTTGATGGCAATTAATGTAAGTTCATCTTGAGCTTTTGCATAAGAACCCTTGGTAAATTGTCGGAAAATTTGGGTCTCTTCTCCTTCCACACACCCCTTCTGCTCGTGGTATTTGGGATTCATATGTATCTTTTCTCAAGGGAACTTGGGTGAGTTTTGATAAATCAAGTGGATATAAAATCAGAATAAAAACAACTAGAACAGTGACAGCTTATTCTACGTAGGCAAAAGAAAGCACATTAAATTCTCACATTGCAACTAAAATAAATGCTTTGGTCTTCAGCCAAAATAAAAACAAGTTAATTTAAAAAGCAAAACACAAGCCATAACTTTTAGTTATCGTAAGTACTAAGAACCTAAAATAGAGATCATTTTTATTCATGCTTTTTTTTTTTGGGGGGGGGGGTGCCCACATACACACATGCTCTCTMCAAACAGGCCTTCCTGGGCTTGAAATCATCAGACTTGTCAGTTACTGAGGACAATGTCTCTATGGGGYATATATGGTTTCATGAGTTTGGGGTCTGGACAACTCATACCAATTTCAGATCCCTGGGAGACAAAATTGCTGAAACGTCAAAACTAAGTTTGGAAACATAACCAAACACATGGATCCTTTGGCTCATGGATTGGGGAGGCAAAAAAAGGTGTGGAAAAATAAACAAAACCTATGGAAGTGAACAGAAACGGAACCAGGACGAGTCTGGGGAGTGAGGGGTGAACAGTGAAGCTCTGTTACAGGGACAGCGGTGGCTTCTCAGTTGTTCCTTCTCACGGAGACGTTTGTGAGCGCGTGCCCCAGAGGCTGAGTTACCTTCCACTTTGGTGTAGGGTTTCCACTGGTAGAACCATCCACGGAAAGGTTTGCTGTTGTACTCTGCACACTGCTGGGATCGAAAATCCAGGCTGTTTTTATGACAGGGCTCCATGTTGCACAGCTGATAAACACGGCCAGAGCCCGGACAGAACTTGCCACCATACTGAGGCCTAAAAAATAAAATTCAAGAACTTCAGTGCTAGCCATCCGAGGCCTTGCTATGAGGCACATGCAATAATAAGAAAAGGGACAATCCACCCGAGCACTGTTACCGTGTGTGCCGCTGTACACAGATTATCACAGGAAGGGAAATATGGAGATATGACTTCCCATATCCCTCTTCGTCCACTGCAGACATAATGAATGAATCAGGGGATTCTTTTTTTTTTTTTTTTTTTGCAGAAACTTGGCCTGGGCTCAAAATCTTTCTCAACATAGCCTTAGGCATCTATTCCTCCTTAATTGGCATATAAAATCAGACTTATTTGCCCTCTCTTATTTAGTTTTTATATTCTGGCAATTTCCTTAATGACTAATGAAAGGATAATTTTTTAATGATTTTTATTGGTGCCTTATAATTATACATAATAGYGGGATTGTCGCATTTGTGCATGCACATACATAATCTGATCAGTATCATTCCCTGTGTCTCCCCTTTCCCTATCTCTTGCCCTGCATGAAAGTCAACTCAAAGTTGACTTTTTAGGAATTAGACGAGAAACCTTGCAATGGCTAGAGGAAAACATAGGGTCAACATTCCAACATACAGGCAAAGACATGAACTTCTTAAATAAGACCCCTAAAACTCAAGAAATAAAACCAAGAATCACTAAGTKGGATGGCATTAAACTTAAAAACTTCTGCATAGCAAAAAATCAAAACAAAACAAAAAACTAAGAGCATGAAGAGAGAGACTAYGGATTGGGACAAAAAAATATTTGCCAGCTACTCTCTGGACAGAGAATTAATATCCAGAAATATAAAGAGCTCAARAAACACCAACCAACAACCCAATCAATAAATGAACACAAGAACTCAACAGACATTTCTCAAAAGAAGAAACACCAATGTCCAAAGGACATCTGTAAGGAGAATTCCTCCTTCATCAGGGAAATCTGTAGACATACTCCTCCATCCTTAGTAACATCCTGTGTGTTCACGTGGCACTGGCTTCCGGTCCTCCTGACAGGGACCCACTGTCATCGCCAGCTTCTCCCACTTCCCAGGACTCTCATCATCTTCCTGGGCTTTTCCAAAATGTACAGAGAAGGGCAGGACCCTGGGCAGCAGGAACAAAGTCCCATTTGCCACSATCTCCTGTCCAGCTGTCAGTCCTCAGGATGACATTTGGATTGATCCTGAGGGAAAACATTGCTTTGTTTTCATGCACTTAACCTTGCAGGGGGCCTCCTGCTTTCCTGCCAAGCACAGTGGGACATGGCTTTCCAGAGTAGGGAATCCCATTGGAACATAAATGGTTATGATCTAAGGGCAAGCTCTTTAAGATCTTACTTGGCAGACTCTGATCTACCAAAACCAGAGAGCAAGACAAACACCATCACAACCACATTGACAATCACTTCTAACCACCTACCCAGTCTACTYTGTGCACAGAGAGATTCCTTCTTTTCATTACCCGCTTCTCATAGCCTTCTCCAAAGGCTGAAACTCAACTGTGGATCCGATGCCAACATGTAACATAAAAGGAGCTCCAGATTAATAAATTGATGGGATTAAAATTCCTGGTCTCCCTGGGAAGCACGATCATGCTATAAAACACCTTGGGGTTTGCTCCAGCATCCTGTCAAACTCTCCCACGACTGCCTGCTAAGATGGACTCAACAGAAACAGGAAGGGCCACATGGCCAGGCGAGATTTTTGTGCTATCTCAAAACATTCTGGAAAAACTACTCAAACACACAGCAGACACGGTGCTAGTTCAAACCCCTAAAGACTTCTTCAATGATCATCTAAAAAGCATTTGGAAAACCTTAATGTGCTTCATCATAACTTCAATATTCCTAGCCATCTCCACAAGGCATATTTAAAACAAATTTCTCAGTGGAAGGCTTTCTGCCTGAGAGTCAACCAATAACTCTCATTTGGATTGATCATATGTCATGAAGTGAAAGGGCACCTCAGTGTGTTACCTCTGAACTCACAGAACTTGTAACATGGAAAAGACCTCCAGACTCAAGCAGTCTTCCCCTCATTGCACAGATGAAAGGAAAGAGAGAGARGATGGAGCTTATAACACTTGCTGAATGATGAGGCCACACAGCTAGAGGAGACAGAGCACAGCTCACCCCTGGGCCTCCAGATTCTGCCCGGGACGCTTTCCTAYTCAACTGTGCCTACGTTTCACTGAGTTAGGAGCCCTATGTGGGAAGAGGGGGAGAGAGAGAGTGGCATAGTGGCCAGCGTGCCAGCCTCTTACATGGAGACAGACCTGGTTTTGAATATTCTGTCTCTTCCCAACTTGACTTTAGGCAATTTTATTGAAACTCTTCATCTATAAAATGAGAGCAATTTTGGCAACTGATATAGTACTTTAATTTGGGGCAAAGTTAGCACAAATGAATTATATCTGTTTTAAAATACTTTATACTTGTGTATTACCTACCCAYACTGCACTGGGTAGTTTGCAATGTGGATTTTACATATGCATATATTTCATTTGTCATTATGGGACAAGGCAAAGCCATCAAAAGTAATGACTAACAAGACTTTGAGCTTTTCTTTTTAATCTTCCAACTCAGATACATTTTTGAGTAGCTTTAAGTATGAGTGTGAGAATAAATTAAGAAAAAATTCTACCATAAAATACTTCCATATAGTAATCCATTTATGATTAAAAATTTAAAAAAAGGGAAACAGAATACAAAAGTTTAAGCATCTGATTCTGTCCTTATGTTAGATTACTAACATTTGCTTCTGTGAAGTTYATCCTGACTACAGGTGGCTGGTGCTCTTAGGATCACTTGGGGGAGCTCCATTAATTATACATACATACATGTGTATGCACATATATATGTACACACACACCCCTGGATTCCTGGGCCCCTCCACAGACTCTCAATTAGAATGTATGACCTGTGCTTTTAAAAGAAATCAGTGTGATTTTTYAAGTATACTGGTGGTTCTGATAATTAAACCTGGGAATGGCTGGCTGGAAAATGGGCCACAGATTCCATTCAATTATTGTTCTAGAGCCATGGTTTCCCTCTGCTCTCCATTTGCTTAGCAGTGTTAGAGTAGCTATTAGATMATTCTTTCTCCATAGACTCTTGCTTCAGGAAAGTTCTAGAATGTCACTGCTAATTTTCTTGAGAAATTTATAGAATTTCCCCAGTGTTATGGTTTGGATGTGAGGTGTCCCCCAAAAGCTCATGTGTGAGACAGTGCAGAAAGGTTCAGAGGAGAAATGATTGGGTTGTGAGAGTCTTAACCCAATGAGTGATTTATCTCCTGATAGGGATTAACTGAGTRGTAACTGGAGTGGCAGAATGTGGCTGGAGGAGGTGGGGATTGGGGCGTGGCTTTGGGTGTATATTTGTGTCTGGCCAGTGGACTCTCTCTCTGCTTCCTGATCACCATGTGAGCTGGTTCCCTCTGCCACATGCTTCCACCATGATGTTCTGCCTCMCCTCCAGCCCTGTGGAATGGAGCTGGACTTCTACGGACTCAGACCTCTGAAACCGTGAGCCCTCTGATCACCTTTTCCTCCTCTACAGTTGTTCTGGTCGGGTCCTTTTAGTCACAGCAGTGAAACAMGCTGAACTAAAACACCCAGGCCTTCTCATGGTGTAGCAACCAGAAAAAGATGCCAAAGGGTTAAGACTGGGGATCTGGTCTGACTCTGCCTTCTGCAGCATGGTGCCCAGRCAGGGGCTGCTTCTGTGATCAGCATCCTCTGACTCCCCTATCCAGCTGCCATCTGTAAAACAACGGATTTCAATCCATGTGTCACCATCCACCAGACTGGGAACAAATGTCTAAAGAAGTATTTTGTGAGACAACAGAAACCAGAGACTGGACCAATGAAGAACTCCTAGAGGAGACATGAGAGAATGGAGGTGGCCACAGGTGCTGCTGGTAATGGCTGTTCCAGGGGTAGACAAATTTTACACTCTATGAAACCTCAACCATTTGATAAATCCATAACCCCGGGCAGGAATGATCCATGTTTCATGAAATAAAAAAATGTACTGGGAAAAGCACCACTAAATGAAATAGGCCCCATATTGCTTCTCAGATGAGAAAATAAAAAGGGTCAGYTGACTGATGAGAACAGAGGAACCCAATGCTGAAACTGAAGCAAGAAAGAAACCAGTAACTTGAAATTGGGAGGAATTTTTTTTTTTTTTTTAAAAAGGGCAAATTAAGAGCAGAGACAGAACAATCAATATGGCTGTCCTGGGATGGCCGACCCTCTACTTGTTTTGTGACTTCATGCAGARTTCAAGTAAACACTATCCTGATGATCCTCGATCTTGTTCAACATGATGAAACTGCACTAAGTAGAATTACTTCAGCGATTAATCCTTTTATTAGGCATCTCTGAAATTACAATATGGTTTTTTCCCCCGAATGAGTCCCTATCATAATGAGAGTTCTCCATCCCATAGATATGAGAAAGGTTTTAATTTAAATCTCGGGGGCGTCACGCATGCACTTTACCAGCAGAGCTATTAAACTGGGTCATCTATTTCTTTTTTGGGAAAATACKGAGATTGTAAAATTTCGTGATGTATGAAAACCAGATCCATGAAATATGCTTCAAAAATGTAAAGTWATATAAAGGTTTTTAACAATTCTATCCAAGACATGGGCTGTGTTCAAAGTTTCAGAAGGGTGGTTTTAATAATCTGGTATGAGTTATAAATGCATCAAARCCTTCCTCCCTTTATGCCCAGTGACTGGATCTGATGAGACCCCAGCGACTCAATGGAAGATGATTCTGCCCCTCATAAGACATTGGGCAATGCCTGGCATTATTGTCATTTGTCACAACTTGAGGGTGGGGAGTTGGAAAGTGATCCTACTAGTACCAGATGGGCAGATGACAAAGTTGCTGCTAACTATCCTGCARTGTACAGGGCAAACCCCACAAAAGAATTTTCCAGCCCTTCATGTCAGTAGTGCTGAAGCTGAAAAACCCTAGGTTAACCCAAGATATCCCAAGTAGTGCTTGACAAATCATGGTCGAGTTAACTCCAAACTGCTCCTTATAATTTGGGGGAGGGGCAGGGGAACAAAAAACAAACAAACAAACAAAAATCCTTTTTGATTCAGCTCAGCCTGCTGACTCAGATGAAGTACCCTTTGTATCTTTAAAAGTTTCCTTTTTCTCTAGTCGCATTAATTTAATTCTCAATTTACCATTTATGCAATGCTTATGACATACCAGTCCCTTCTGAAAACATTCTATAACTATTAGCTGTTGTAGGTGCTATCATTATCCTATTCTCACAAATTAGGACTCTGGGAACAGASAGAGCCTGTTGTGGGTGGCCACACAGCTAGCAGGCCAGCATGCAAACCCAGGGGCTTCGGAATCTATGTTCTTAAGCCCTGTGCTCTTCCATCTCTCAGACTGTATCGGGAAGTTACCTGGACTATTTTCAAGGTCCCCAYCACATTCTTCTGACCCTATTAGCATTCTCTAGGTCCAGGACCATCAGTGATRTCTYTGCCTCTCTCCCTTGCTTCTGTGGYGTGATCCTGTCTTCCTGGTGAACTTGGGGTGAGGGGAATGAAAACCACACAGTCCCCAGATCCTTCTTCTGAGTGCCCACTGGATGCTCCCTATGTTACAGGCACTCTCTAGAAACAATTTCTAATTCTCCCGAGAACATCACAGGATCACAGGAGGGTACTACATAGTCTCCATTCCACACACAAACCCGAGCTGAGAGTTCAAGCGATTTTCTCAAAGCCATACAATTAAGAGGTGGCAGACACGTGACCTGGAGTCTTTGTCCAAAGCCTAGGCTCTTTCTAGATCACATGCAATGGAAAATACCTGAGCGTAACTTAGCATATATGACAGTAACCTAAGCACACCGGCATTTACACAGAGTATGGATGGCAATTCAGAYTCTAGTCTGACTCAACCAGAGTGCCCACAGGGACCATCGGCCAATTTCAATCCATACGTGATTTAAMTTGTCCTCTTAGTGGCTTTTTGTTTTCAAAGGAAATTGAATTTCTCGTCAATAATTTAAAAATTGGAAAACTTCACACATAACTTTTTTTTTTTTTTGGTTTCTTTTGAGAAGTCAGGCAGAGCAGTCGGCCCACGTTGGTATACATTCCTGCAAAGCAAAAGTAAGCACATTTTCTCCAACTCACAGCTTGACAGACAGCCATGCATTCCACCAACTGAGCTTCTGTGCTCTATAATCTCTCAGGCACCTGACTGTATGACTGTAGAGCCCAGGGTAGGTTAAGAAAGTAACTTGGGCTATGACTTGTCCTTGATGGTCACATTCATGCGTGGAATAAGTTCTTYGCTGTGTTTTGGTTTCTGCCCACCCTGCCTCCAATTGTGTGCAAATTGTAAAATCCTGGTTGACTGTTATTCCCCAGAGGGAAGAAAACCAGTGTGTTACTGGCTGGCTTTCTGTGGGAGCCTTACTTGGGGTTATTGCAGTGTCTCTCCTGATACTTGACTCCTCCACCACAAGTTCTGGAACATTCTGACCACTTCGACCAGGTGGACCACTGGCCATGGATGGGCCGGGGCCCGAGCTCCCCAAACTTTACACACTGGCCTTGCCGACACCACTGTGAAAAGAACGTGGGACACGGTTCCCGTCAGAGCGCACCTGGGAAAGCACAGGGAGATGTGAACACCTGTATAGGGATGGGAGAAACAGGTCTGTGGGCAAAGAGGAGAGTGCAGGACCCCTTGATCGGTCCCTTTCTCTGCRCAGTTTTATTAACAGTTACCCCACCTTGGCTGCCTGCATTTTGAAAAGCTGCTAGCTAGACAGAAGCAGCATCTCCCACCAACAAGCTGAGCCTCCCATGATCCGTGAACTGTCAAGGTGGAACATGGGATGAGATTCCACCTAACAACCCAGGAGTCGGACGAAATTGCAAAGGGGCCTCCGTTGACAATGAGAAACAGTGCTGCTACTACCCAGGGACAACTCAGGTCACTCACTCAAGGAGAAACGGATTTTAAGATATTAACAAAGCATTGATCATTTTGATGATTATCTCCTAAGAACAGACAATTGGACATACAATATATTTTTGTTGGGYACCGTCACTATTGGGCATTTCTTAGGAACCCAAGTAACTTCCAGTCTGAACCAATCGTGGTCTTCAGATACCGTATGTTACCCTTTTGACTATATGAAAGGTCCTCATCTCAGACCCTCTGATGACTTCCAAGTCTTTYGGCATCTGAAGGATTAGCTCTGGGTCTTTCATTCACCCGTGATCTGCACAAGGCGGAGCTRTGATCTGGGCTGACCTTCCCCTTTGAGTTCTTTGCAGCATAGTGCAGACCTTGCTGGTCATCTCCCTTCTTGGGGATTTGGGGGTTATATTAGTCTGGTAGGGTTTTTGGGGGGAGGGAGCTAGATATTTTTCTTGTGGTGCTTTTAATATGAGTAAGTTCTGCATGACTTAGCACACTGCACACTTTCCCCAAAGCCTCTGCAATTAGATCCAAAAGGTTGGGTTTGGACCATGCCAGGTTTTGCAGAGGAATGGGGGTTCAGTTACAAAATTATGGGGTGTTTTTTTTTTACTTTTAAATCTTCACTTTTTTCCCCTGTGACACCTTGGGTGTTGGAGCTGTGGACTGTGTGGCTTGGTTGCCAGAGCACTTTGTCTGGGTTAAGATATTGCTTCCTTTCTTCAACTTCTTGCCTTGTGCTGATTAATTCTTCTGTTTTTAATTTTTCTTTTCCCTGGATTAATTGCCACTGCAGAGTTTGCATGAAACCATATAACATTGTTGAGAACTTTCTGGGGGAAAGCAATCTGTCATTTGAGGGGTTTATCCCTCAAATAAGCATGCCTCTTCCCTACCAGGAATCACAGGGCCTCTATTGGACTGGGCTCAGTGGCTGACACCAGCCAGCAACACGTGCAGCAGCCACAGCAGCTGCAGTTGACCACCAGTGGGGACGAGGAACTTCACATTAAAATCTCATAGAAGCCTTGCATGGCACTTAGGAGTTAGAGAAATTTAGGAAAGAAATGCTAACTTGCTTAGTCACACAGTTACCCAAATAACTACCTAATAGCAGAGACTGGATTGGAYTCAGCAGCCAAGGTTCCTAAACAGAACTCATTCTACCTTTGACCTCTGAGGCAAATTACTGATACACATATCTTAAGTTTTAATCTAATTTCCTTTTTGRAAATTAGTAAGTTTTTTTTAGATCTGTTCCAGTCATTCAACTAATTGGACTTTCTATGATTTCAGTATTTATCCCAGTATTAGGTTAGACTGCTGCTAACTTGCTCTCTCTGGCTTTCCAATGAGTTTAGAAGGTAGGAATGTGGAGGAATGTCCAGAGACAYGCCAATATCCACATGTGTATGGAAAATCTTTGTATAAGATATAAATACTAAACAGATACACCCACAATTTTATCCAACTACTCATATATATATTTCTGGCAGTACTTCTAATATCAAACTGAATGGCCATGACTTACAGCAATACCTTTTCATAGAAAGCATGTATGCATCTTTCTTTCCTGGCACACACATCTTGAGATGAAAGTACCTGGCTTTCGTTCTCAATTATTTTCTGAATATTCATAGTAAGAATCATCACTGAAGGACAGGGGACTGCCTAAGGATGGGGTAGGATAGGTTGAGTTCTGGTTAGAAAGAAACAAAATTCTGACCAGCTGCTGCACTGCCCCTGACCCTCCAGATAAAACACGAAGCAGCGGTGCCCTCAGCCTTTATGGGGTGAACAGTCTGATTCATTACAATTCCGCTCTCCACGGAAGGAGGAGTCACAAGAGCATATGTACCAGAATGCAGTCATTATTACACAGGAGTGATGGCAAATGGGGATGCTTTCTGCTCAGGGTGAACTCATGTTGGCGGGTTTTCCTCAGAGCAYGATCATACACCCCACCCCCCCATTTCAAAATAATGGGGGTGGGGGATGGTGGCACTAGGACATTGGTTTCCTAACTTCTGGTCTGACTCATCTCCCTCATCTCCTGTTCTGTTTACTGAAGTCTAATCCAAGTGCATTTTAGTCCCTGTGGAACGGAGGTTCCTAATGTACTTATATATCAAATCTTATGCCTTGTTATACATCATATATTTTSATTTATATTAATCTCTTCTTATATATGCCTTCCCATGTTTATTRATGCTAGGTTGATTTTTTTCTTTTAATGAAAATCATCTATTAATTCTCAAGTTACAAGTTCAGTCTTCAAAATTAAATTGGYTTGAATAGTTATTTTTAACTATTTGATTAATGAACCCATTGCTTTGTATCATCACAGCTATAAAACTTCTATAAGCATTTTTAATGAGAATCCTCATTGGGATTTCCTAAGAGCAGTACATCTGATTAAAAATTGCACATAACTTCAATTTTTAAAAATGWATTTTCTTTAAAATATAAATATTATAGACCTTCCAAGAGATGTTGAATAAATGCCTTAATAAACATAAAAAATACATTTGCTGACCACCCACTTATTTTCATATGCTGTGTGTATGCTCTGCCGCTACTTTTGGCCTTTCCCTCAAAAGTCTCTTCTTTCTCTTCTCCAACGGAAGATACTCCACTCCAGTGTACGCCCAGGAGAACCCACTCACAACAGTGAATCCCCAAAGCATAYCTAATCCTGAGCAAGGTTCAATTTCATTCATCCAGGCTTCGGTAGCCACTGGTGCTTATAGAAGATATGCACTAAAGGGAGTTGGAATTACTGCCTCTGCATAGCTTTCTCTGCTGGACTGTTTATTCTTGAAAGGTTGTAGCTGAGTTTTATTCACTTCTATATCCTCAGAGTCTCCTCTCCCCAATATCTAGTACTGAAAAGATKGCACAGAAATTGAATTCAGTTTAAATGGCCAATTTGTCTGCACAGGCTTGTGTTGACTTAGAAGAGTCAAAAACAAAGACCTGTAAACCGCTGACATGTTATCATTTGTAGCACATGTTTGGTTTTTCAAGTGAACTCTCCAAATCCGGACCACTTACTGGTACCTTCTTATGGTTTAAATAATGAAGTGTCCCCCAAGAGACTYATGTATTGAAGGCTTGGTCCCCAAGGTACTACTGTCCGTCCAGAGTTGTACTACTGGAAGGTGATGGATGCCATAGGAAGTGGGGACCTGGTTGAAGGAAGTGAGTTACTGGGGTGGACTCTGGAAGTATTTATTGTTACTGCCGCCTTCCATCTTTCCTTCCCACTGCCATGAGCTGAGCAGCTTTCCTCTTTCCACCCTTCCGCCATCATGTTCATCTGCCTCATCTCAGGCCCAAAACAATGGATTCAGCAGCCTAGCAACCATGGACAGAAGCCACTGAAACCATGAGCCAAAATAAATCTTTCCTTCTCTAAGTGGATGTCCCCAGGTATTTTTGTCACAGTGACRAAAAGCTGACTGACACTTATCCAAGTGAACTTTCCCTACAGACTCTGTTGGGGAAGGGGAAGAAAAAAGAGAGACTAATATCTGAGAATGTTTCCTTCAAAACATAGAGGTCTGCCGTAATCTTCCATAACAGAGGGGGCTATTGCTCACTAGCAAAAAGGCTTTTGGGCACTTGTGGATGGAGATGCCTCTTACCCTTCAATAGCAATGTAACTCTAAGTGATGGGCACCTCTGCAGCATGTCAGAAGGTCCAAGGCAGCTCCTGTGAGGTGAACTGAGTGGCAGAGGCCTTGGTCTGGAGAGGCAGTCATTTCTTTGCTACTTATTGGAACATGTGCTCCCTGAGACTCTTACCTAYAGCATCAAGCTTAAAAGGCAAGTGGAGTGCAATGAAACCTACTAGCTCATTCAAATAGATTTCAACTCGAGACTCCATCTAAAAGAAGAAAAACAAAGGCAAAAAAAAATCTGCTTCAACAATTGAACTGATGGTTATATTAGCATTCAGATTTGTAATCACTGCTGAATAATGCTCATCATTTTAAAGAGAAGGCAGAAAGTATATGTAGCCAAAGCACTCCATTCTGAGGTCACCGCACCAAGAATCTGGGACTATGCCTCATCAAGTTTCCACARCCCAAAACTAACAAGTATGCAGTTTACCATACTCAAGCCACACATGGTCCCTTCCGCTGCAGGCATGAACTTGGTCTCACACCTGTGGCCCACTCGGTGGCACCAAAGTGATTTGCAAATGTCCTGAAAGGCAAGAAGGGACTGGTAAGGGTGGTAATGCAAGAAAAAAAATGAAAATATTTAAAGCTTTTGTACACAATATTATATTTTGAGGTGGTGGCTGAAATCAGACAAATTATTCAGAAAGGAGAGGCAGGTGGAGTTGGTAAAGGCCAAATGCTCTAGCAACTGCAGAAGCCGTTTGTTTTAACCACAATGTGGTCATGTGTTTAGCAACTGGGAGGCAGTGGCAGTTTATTTAGAGAACCCTTGGATTAGACCAAAGAYATCTGGGTTCTAATGACAATAATAAACAGTGCAGCAGAATAGATCAAAATGGGAAWAAAGCAATTCTGATTCAAATCCTTTTCCTGGAACTCCAGGATGTGTGCTCTAGGGATGGGTTTAAGAATTCCTGAAAGCTATAGTTTCCTCTGTTTTCCCCATAAAAAAGTGATAAAATTAGCACTTGACTCCACGGAGCTGTCCTCAGAGATAAACCATATGATGCATGCAAAATGGTTAGCCTGCCTGGCCCACAGTGTTATCCATTATCATCATCGTCATCCTTTCTTTATCTTTGATCACAAAGTTTAATTATCTAGATCATTTCATTCTCACACTAGACCTATGAAACCATTTCAGTTATCCTGCTAGTCTGTGGTGGGCAGAAAAGGGCTCACATGGCAATCCCTAGAACCCGTGACTATGTGAGTTTACATGACAAAGGAGAATGAGAGCTGCAGGTGGAACTGAGGCTGCTCATCAAATGACCTTGAGATGAACAGACTCTTTCACGTAGACCCAATGTAGTTGCAGGTTTTTAAATGGGAAAGTGGAGATGGAGAAATGAGAGCTTGAGGGGGTGCAAGAGGAGGAGGAGGCTGGCTYTGAAGGTGGAGGAAGAGGCCGTGAGTCAAGGAATGCAGGTGGCTTTTAGAAGCTGGAAAAGCCAAGAAAATKGGTTCTCCCAGATAAGATCACAGGGAACAAACACATCCCCGCGCCCACCCCTGCTGTTAGCCTTTTCCAGTGTCTGCCTCCAGAATAACAACATAACAAATTTCTGTTGCTGGATGTCACACTAAGCTTATGACACCAACTGGAAATTAACAGGAGCACCACCACTGTAGTGGCGAAAGTCTGCCTCATCTAAATTCRTGCAGCTGAAGAGGCTGAGCAAGCTACGGACACTCTCAAAGCTGTGGCACTTGGCACTAGAACTGGTCTCATATTCCAGAATCCAGGGTCTCCACCATCGCTCTAGACCTGGGCTTGCTGGGAATGGATGTTGGAAAGCTCTCAAGTGCTTCAGGCCTCAGTTCCCAACCTACAGAGTCAAGGGACTGAACCAGGACCAGGAGACTTCCAGTTCTACCTGTCCAAGTCGCTACTCAGAACTAGGCCACCAAAGGAATGTCACAAACATCCCAGAACATCAAAGTGATTGCATTTTGCCACATTCTGTTCACAAAGGTCGAAATAGGAACTCACCGATTRGGGTGGGGGGATTCACCGCCAGGAGAGTATGAGATGACTTTTGTGGTTTCTTGTGGTGACGGTGAAAATTCAATCCACCAAACACCCAATTCCCCCAAGCATTCAAATTAATATAGATTTCACGACTAGAAAATATGGCCAGAACATGCTTGGTAATGTTTGAGAGACACACACACACACACACACACACACACACATACACAAGCTTTCTCTAGGATGGAAAAAAGAAAACAGAGAAACCAGAAGTATATGTGGTGATCTTGACCTTGTAAATCATAAAAATCTTTCCTTCAAAAGAGAATGGAAGAAAATCCACGTCACTGTTTAGAAACACAACCCCAGCAGCAGCCTCAGACAGGGGCTCACATAACATTTGCAAATCCCAGAAGAGCTCCTAAGACAAAATACGTACATCTTTCTCTGAACTGCCGCTGACGTTAGAAAGCAGGAGGCAGCCCCCAACACAGTTACCATTAGGGTGGCCACCTCCGCGTGTCTCCATATCAAGTGACCCTGGGGTCCAGGGACCCACATAATGTGGAAAAGAGAGCAGACTCTAAGTCAAACTGGAGGAGCGAGAGGACCCAGCCATTGAGACAATTAAAGCCACCCTGAGAAGGGCTTTTCAGAATCAAGTTATCTTCTTTCTTRCAGCCAGAGGAAAGCCGTAACCTATACCCCCAGCTCATGTGGCACAGGTAAATGCCTGTCCTAGCTGCCACAGGCAATGCCAAGCCATGAGGCTGAGAGAAGGGGCAGCCAGAGAGGACCCGAGAGATAAAGCAAAACCAACCAAACCAACCAAACACACACACACACACACACACACACACACACACACACACAAAGGCTCTGGAGTGAACTCATACAGGCTGCATGAACATGTTATTTCTCCTGCGGTGAAGAGCAGAAGTCAAATGTAATTACAGCCAACTGTATGCTCTGGTGACCGTGAATGCCCCCGAGAAAGCTCCCTTTCAAAGTAAACAGAGAGGCGAGTTTGAGCTTTTGTTGTGCGTACCTCCCTTTTTCCTTTTTCGAGACTGTTCAACTAACTTTTCCTTATCTATAATTACCTGGACTTAAGTCATAATTTCAGGGAAAAGGAAATAACCACAGAGACCCCCAAGGTCTCATGCTGCCTGGATATGATTTTGCTGAAGGAGACCACATTTTTAAGGAAAGCGTCTCGGGCTCTCCATCCTCTGTCCCTCGCTGATCACACGTTCTCTGGTTAAATTCCAGGASGTACATCCCTTCACATAAAACCCCGACATGCTGAAAATGTGAATAGCTTCTGAAAATCAAGTTTTATACAACATCTCAAACTTCACRCATCCAGAACTGAATTCCTCGCCAGCCCCAGGTACCTGTTCCATGTTCAGCCTTTTCCATCCCGCATCTTGGCATCTCCAGCCTTCCAGAGATTCAGGCCCCAAGTCCTGCCATCATCTCTAACTCCTCTCTTTCTCTCACATTCTATCAGAAAATCTGCTGCTAGATCTTGAAATCACATGGGCTGTACCTTCACACCATTTCTMGAATCTGAACAATTATCTCCACTTATACTGCTCCCTGTCCCAAGCCACCTTGAAGAGGCTCACCACCACACCCTTTCATGGGCCTCAYGTTCTGTCTTTCCCCATCCTTCCTAGTTCATTCTCAACTCAGTGCTGTCCAGTACTGTAGCCCATAGCTACAAGTGGCTCATCAAAACCGAATTTAGATCACTTTAAATGAATAAAAGATGCACTTCCTCAGTCAGTGACACTAGTCACATTTCAAGTTCCTACGAGGCAGATGTGGTAAGTGGCTACCATATTGGATGTTGAACATTCCCACCACTACAGAAAGTTCTAGAGGACAGCGCTGAGCTAGACATCCTTCCACATCAGGTCAGCTCATGGCATTTCTCAGCTCAAAACTATGCAATGCCTCCGACTTCACTTAGAAAAATCCAAAGTCCTTATTATCCTCTGCCAACCCACATATCATTGGGTCCCCTTCACCATTTTGCTCTATCCACACTGGCTATGCCTTGTTCTGCAAACACCTCCAAACTTAGGCCTTTGCACTGCSTGTTCTACTTTCCCTACTATCTGAATACCTAACACTTTCTTACCTCCATGAAGTCTTGGCCCAAGTTTCACCTCGTATCACTACACAATGAAAACCTTAACCAGTCACCACGCAATCAGCCTCCCAGTTTCTCTTATCCCACTCCTAACTTACTCAGCACTTCTGACTTTACTTACTACACCATTTACTTATTTACAGTGTCTTCTGGGCACCATTTTCCTTCCCATTACAATTCATTGCTATGTGGGTAAGGAACTTTGATTTTTCTCCRACACATCCCAAGAATAATGTCTGGGACAAGGCAGACTTTAATAAATATTGTTAGGTGAATCAGCGTACGAATGAAAATTGTTGACTTTATAAATACAAGTCACCTTCACTAGTCATGACAACTCTGGAATACTTAAGGACAATCTTCAATTTTAAAAACGTAAGAGAACCTGACAAACTATGCTGCTGAACAGAGTTTTCCCTGAATTATTTATCTGCATCCTCATCATGGCCCTGTGAGGAAGGTCATAATCCTTGCCTTTGATGTGCTCATGGGAAAGCAGAGGCTCAAGAGAAGTTAAGCAAATTCCTCAGTTGCTTTAAGTCTCTGGTTGCCCTGAATTTAAACTCACTTATGTTTAAACTCATTTGCTCAAATTTTTAAGCTAAGCAATAATTTTAAAAGTAACAGTTAACAATTAAAAAGTAACAATCAACAAAAATTGTCACTGGTATCATTTTTAAAAATCCAGTTTACGGAAGTATAATTTACTATAATAATATGCACCCATTTTAACAAATGGTTCTAGGAGTCTTGACAAAATACATATGCCACTGTAGACAACGCCATAATCAGGACAGAACATTCACATCACCTGCAAAATTTCCAAGAGGAAAYCAGTGTTCTGATTTCTGTCACCATAGATTAGTGATGCTTTTTCTTAAATGCCATATAAATAGAATTTTCCAAATGGATTCTTTTATAGCATTTTGCTTAATTTTAAAAAAAACTCATTCATGCTTTTGTGTAAATCAATAGTTTTTTTTTTTTTGAATGATGACTAGAGTTTCATCGTACAAATACACCAGAATTTGTTCATCCATTCACCTTTTGAAGGATATTCCMATTGCTCCCAGTCTTTGGTTCCTATGAATCAAGCAGTAACTAAGAACATTTCTGGACCAGTGTTTTGTGATCATAGTCTTTTATTTCTGTAAGGTAAATACCTTGGAGTGGATTTGCTGGATCAGAAGATAAGGCTATAATTAATTTTCCATGTTAAAAATACACTGCCACATTATTTCTCAAAGTAATTGCATCATTTTCCACACTCATCAGCAACAGAAAGAGTTCCAGTTGCTTCATGTGCTTGATGACATTTGGTATTGCCAGTGGGTGTGCAGTTGGGTTTCACAGTGATTTATTCTGTGTCCTTCTGATAACTAAGATTGAG